ATCTTAACATCTAAAACACCAAGTAACCACACCTGGGTCAGGGTGTACAGCCACGCCTGTTGTCAACAACTTTGAAAGAGCAAAAATCAGCTCAAACTCTGTGACCTCCAGTCAAGGAGGAGCAGGACTCACGTCTGTGGGTCCCCACAAAAAATCTCTCAAACTTGATCCACAGAACTGTTTGATTTCTAATATGGACCCTTGTTAAGACTTTGGTGATTTCGTGTCTGTGCCAATTAGATGTTGGCATGACAACAACCAAAGCTTCGATCCCACTTGAACGCTCTCTGAAGGGCAAGAGGAAATGGGTTTTATGTTTGAGATCTTCAACAGTAAAAACACAGAGCTGTATGATAAACAAACAGAAAACTAGCCCCAGCAGAGCACTCACTCCCCAGAATATGATGTTTATATGGCTCGTTAGCATGGGAGGAGGTACTCAGGATGATCTGTGACCAAGAAAATGCAAATCAAGTCACAATCACAAACTCATTCACTTGGCAAATGTTTAAAAATATGAAACTATCAGTCATTATGAAGGGTATGGATCGCTCAGACAGTGGTGCTCCAGAGTGGAGGTGTCTTTGGAAGAGAATTCTTCATTATTTTCTAGCAAATACTGTATATCTCAGCAGTTGTGTGTCTGTGTGTGTGTGTATGTATATATGTATGTATGTATGTGTGTATGTATGTTGTCCTGTAGGAATAAATTTTGAGCCACTCAAGTACTTTAAAATTTTTCTAGAGGACATTTGTGAAACAGATGAAAAAAATTTTAGTAATGTATTTTATTTAACTATGTTATCAACATAACATTATTGAGGTATTTTACGTTTTTGGCTTGTGTTTTATAAACCTATTATGTAACTTTTACTTTTTGTATCTCCAGTTGAACACAAGTTTTTCTTGTTTGGTCTGCATTTGGAGTTCACATAATTTACAGTTGGGAATGCTGTAATCGCATTTCCAACTCCGGAAGTACTGGTGTGCTATTGTTCTTCCGCCAGGCTGTGGGCTTCCCGTGTCTGTCAGTGTCTGCCCCATCACAGAGTTAAAAATACCTCATCCTAGTTAAGATTTATTCACTGATAATTGTAATTAAACATTTGCTGAAGATATTCAGAAGGGGGCATTTAGCTGCTCCTTTAGAAACAGGTGAGTAGGGTCCTTAAAGTCTGTAAGAAAGAGGAAAGGATTTGAGTGACATAAGCAAAAGCCTGGGCGGAGGAAATCGAGGCTGTTGTTTGCTTGGGTTTCAGTACAAATCAGGGCTGCTGGGATCAAACCTCTGGATGCTAAGCTAAAAGAATTCAGAACAGACAGGAAGTTTAATGAGTTATTTGCTTCCCAGCACTCTTAGTCACGTGACCGTGCCGCAGCTAAGTGCATTCAGCCCTAGTTTTACTGGAATATTTTTAAACTAAAACTGTCTTGTCAACCTTTGAGGCATTCTTTCCTTTCCTCTAGCCAGATGTCTGCTTGTTGATATGATGGGGGAGAGGGGAAATGGAGAGGAAGCTACAGCTCCTTTAGTGGCTTCCTTCTTAGGTTTCTCATAAGCAAGGAGATCAATATTAATTTATTAGAACCAAAGTTAAATTACTTTTAGCCGAAGGCTATTTTAAAACATGGGCATGGAGTAGGGTAATTTGATTTAAAAATAAGTCATAAAAATAAAGTCAGTACAAAATAAGAGTACATTTCTGAGTGCAAAAATAAGTAACGTTTAGAAATAGTTTCACAAAAAGCAATGTGACAGATATATTGTCATAATCACTAGCCAGGATCTAAAGTGCCTTTTTTTTTCCCTCCTAAACTGAAGGATAGATGTGATGGTTTGAAAAACTTGTGAGATTCATATAGACTATATTTATCCAAAGTGTCCTTGGCAAGCCTTTCACTTGTGTGCCAAATACCTGAGAAATACAAGCTCACAAACAAGAGGGGTTTATCTGGAGTCATGTAGCCGAGAGGTTTCGGTCACAGTCACCTGTCTCCGTGAGGGAAGACACAGCATCGTGGTGATGAGCGTGCTCAATGGCGAAGTCTGTCAACACCTGGTGACTAAGTAGAGTCAGGAAGAGTGCAGGACAAGATTTAACTTTCCGTGACACCCCCTCACTGACCAGCTTCCCCTGACTAGGCCCACTCCTTAATGCAATCATGCCAGCAATGCCATCAAATTATGGACCCATCAACAGATTATTTCAGTGGCTGCTCTCAGCAGCCAGTCACTTTGTATGGTTCATCACATGAGCCTCTGGGAAATGGTGTCCTTCACCTCAAATCAAAGTCCTCCACCTCTACTCCCCAGAGGCTCACAGCCATCCCATAATAAAAGATGCACCCAGTCAAATTCAGGGAAGACCGAAGTCTTGACAGTTTCAACACTGTTCAAAAGTTTAAGTCCAAAATTTCCTGAGACTTGATGTAACCCTTAACCTGTGAGCCCCCATGAACATAACTTGAAAATTGTATTCTTATAATAAGCAGTGGCCCAGGAGAGAGTCGTAGTTAAAGAATGAGGTATTTGGAGACTAGAGATAAATGAAACCAAAGTAAAACCAAAGCTTGGTAGGGCAGATGTCAAGTCTGTAATTTGTTCAAGGTAGAAGGATGCTGAGATCCGAAGAGCTCAGGCAGTCTTGCCCCGTTCTCCTGCCAACACAGGCCACATGGCCCATCTCTTGACCTTGTACCACTTGCTACCACAGCTCTTCTGGAAGACATTCATCAACTTCTTGGGATGTCCCTTGTACCTTCTTCATGCATTTCCCTCTCTGGAGCTGCCCACAGGGGGTCCAGTCCAGCCATGCACTTCCTGTTCCCCAGAAGGCTCTATGGTTCTACGGTCCTACTTGTCTGCCAAACCAATGAGGCACAGTGACATGAGAGTCAGTCTCCTGTTCAGGAAGCAGCCAGCTGTCTTGGACTGTGATGGCTGTGGCCTTTGAACCTCAGGAAACTGTACCCTACATCCACTGGTGCAGAAAGGATGCCCTCGGGTTAATCACTTCTCAAGGGAAAGTCTGTCAGACGAATCTACATCTTGTACCAGTGACCGTGCTTTCTCCTCACCTAGTGTCCGCAAGGCTTCTTTCTTACTGCTCCGGACAATGTACTTGGTTTCTTTTTAGCGCCTGATCTCTAACAACTACCATTTCTTGGGTCCCAACACTAAATGCACGCCTTTTCTGGGCAATCTACAGGCATTTCAAATCCATCCACTCTGCTTTTGCTCCCAATTTTCAATGTGGCCCTTCCTAGTAAATCGTAGCCTTGTAACAGCATTGGTGCTAAATGGCTGTAAGATATCCTTCCCTGGATTAGTTAGTCCATTGTCTTTAAATTCAGCCTCCTGTAAAGTCTCAAGGCACAAACAAGATGCAGACAATTCTTTGCTAGAAAATAGCCTGAAGGTAACTAATCTAAGTAGTTACTCCCCTAGTCTGAGACCACGATTTCCTCAGATGATTGCAGTAAGTTCACACTCCCATTCTTTCTCCCCTCCTCGTTCCTCTTCCACTCTCCTCAAAATGTGGCTCTGATAGCTCACCCCTTCCTAGATGGTTTGCTGACTTCCTAGTATGGAATCCTCAGTGTGGTCTCCAGGATATCGTCCAGGATATTGCCATGGCTCCTTGGCTGACTGCATCCCTACCACAGAGCTTGGAATGAATAATCTTCTCCTGAATTCTTTATACATTTAATGGCCTTTTAAACTCCCTAGGACTACTGTGTCACAGCACAGCATTCATGTCTTCCTTAGCTGTTGTATAATCTGCGGCTTCCGTCTGCAGCATGCTGTTGATCTGTGACCGCCCTGAAACGCTGCAGGGTACGTAAGGCTTGCTATGCCTTTTACTCCCAAATGCATTTCTAGTTGGAGAATGGAGGCCTTTGTCCCATAGGGTGTCTGTTAAACTCATGGGAATTTGCCACAGGAGCAGGAAGCCTTTGAAGGGTTTGATCAGGGAAACAGTGTGATCCGCTGGACCCTCTGGGAACTGCCGTGGATGAGGTTTAGACGGTGCTCCTGAAACAAGTATGAATGAGGGAGAGTCCCCGAAACTGCAGAGCCTTGCTTCTCCCTGAACCCAGGGGAAGGGCTACCCAGGCCTCTCAACATGCCTGATTTTCATCTCTTTAGTCGCTGTCATTCATTCTGAACAGTGCTGACTGACTTCCTTCAGCGCAGGCTTGACACTGAGAATAATACGGTGAGGACTGGCTACGTTCAGATGTGTGTCTCTGCCCCACAACTCCTTAACCCAGCATGGAGGGCGCTACAATGAATGAAGTATTGGGTTTGGGAGCAGATTATAAATTAGGTACTTCCTGGTGTCAGGAAGTGCCTTAACACAGAGGCAGCCCCTGAATTGCATGGAGTGGCACGGATTCGTCAGGCAGAGAGAGTCAGAAGGGGTCAGGACAGAATGCAGCAGAGAAGCATGCTCTATGAGAAATGGCCTTTTCTCTGTGTTAGAGACACATTGTAAAGTAAATATTCACACTGAATTGCAGAAGGAATATTAAACAATAGCCCACCAAAAGTGACTGGGCCACTCTAAATGTCTCTAAGTTAAACAATGTTTGTGGGAACCATTTTCATTAAAAGTCAAATACTTTACTGAGAAATCATTGGCTACTCCAGTATGAGTAATGATCACAAGAAACTAAGACACAGAAGAAGCATCATGAGTCCTTCTGTGGGTAGATTGGGATAGGCCCTGAGGGAAGTGAGTAGCAGGGTCCTAGTGAGCTGGCTCAGATGGGTCCTAGAGGGCTAAGCAGTGTAGCCTGTCGATCCCTGCATTTGTGCCACACTCTGACACCTTGGATCTGTGTTTTGCAGTTCCATGGAAAATGGAAGGCCTCCCGATCCTGCAGACTGGGCTGTGATGGACGTCGTCAATTATTTCCGAACAGCAGGATTTGAGGAGCAAGCCAGTGCTTTCCAGGAACAGGTAACTGAGACTGCAGAAACACAGGATGTCAGTTCCCTCTGTTCACACTGAGCAGGGAATGAAGAGGGAGCCCAGAGAGCAGTGAGGGGGCCGAGAGGCGCCTAGACAGCAAGGAGGAGGGCGAGAGTGGCAGCTGGTGGTTCCTCCTCCAAGAGGAAAGTCAGCAGCTGAAGCACAGCTGCAGAGAGGCAGCCTTAGCTCATCTCCCTCTGAGCCCTCCGAAGGACTGGTCATGTTCACGGTAGAAGGTTCAGTCGTGTCTTTGCTGGAAACTCTGGAGGAAGCAGGCAGCAGGGAGGGAGGGAGGCAGGCTCTGGAGAGACACAGCACTCTCCACCACAACCGGCTCCAGTTCCCAAGGGACTGCTCAGCACGTGATTTGCTTTACAGGTGCTCATCAAGGTAGAGCGTAGGGTACAGAGTCCAGTTCAGGTTCATGAAGGGGGGGCAAGTTACTGGAGTTCTTTGAGGCTTTGCTTCCCATCTTCAGCATGAGATTGTCCATAGCTGGTTGTCAGAAATGTTGTTCTGACAGTTTAAAGGAAAGAGGTACAAATTGCCCCCCCCCCCTTTAGCACAGCGTTGATGTTAAAAATGTTAATTTCTCTCTCTTGGGCCAGGGGTTGAGATTAGAGACAGGGAGAGCAGGTGTCTCTTCCCTCAGTGATTGAAGACTATCGAGCAGGCTGAGCCAGCATTGCAGGAATGGCCCTTGTAGAGGCAGATGGGGGAGAACTTGTCCACCCATCAGAACACAAAGCTCCTATCCCTCTTGCGACAGAAGCTGTAGTTTTCTAGGTATTAACTTCATTGTCCCATAATCCAGTTGAGAAAATTAGAAACTGAAGAGTGCGTCTGGCTACCTAGTCTGCACCCCTTCATCAGTGCACAGCAAATTCAGATAAAGGAACCTTTTAAATGCCACCTTCGCCTGTCTCTTCAGGCAATATTTCCTTCAAACTTGATCCTCATACATATGTCATTTTTCGCTAGTTTGGAAAAATTGCCGAAGTAGAGCTTAAATGACTTTACACCCACTAGGCTAATTAAAATTAGAAAGAGAGTCGGTGCCAAGTGTGCCTGTGTAGCAAAGTAGGGTGCCCTGCACTGCTGGGGAGAGTGTACAATCAACACATCCACCAAGATCCAGTGTACAATCAACACATCCACCAAGATCCAGTATTCAATCAACATATCCACCAAGATCCAGCGCTTTCACCCCTGGGTATACCAAAGGAAAATGAGAGCATGTCTGTAAGAAGATTCGCCTAAAACTGTTGTTAGCAGCTTTTTCCAAAGTTTGCAAAAATTGGAAACCTGGGTTTGCAATTATATACAAAAGGAGTATGCACACTGAGGTTCATACATAATGGAATATCACACGGTAATGCAAACAAATGAGTTCCTGATGCATACAGAAGTGTAGATGAGTCCCAGTAAAACTACCCTAAATGAGAAGAGCATTACATAACCGAGTTCTTGCTGAGTGGGGCCATGTTAGATTTTTCAGACTGCTCAAACAGATCAGTAGTTGAATTAAAAAAAAAATCAGTGCTTGAGTGTGAATAGGTAGAGGTGGGGAATGATTTGTGAAGGGATCTGAGGGGAACTTTTGGCGATGCCAACATTCAGTATGCTGATAAAGTCTAGATAAAGTGTGTATGCATGTGTGCATGTGAGGGTGTGTGTGTGTGTGTATACATATGTGAGTGCATGCTGATAAAGTCTAGAATTATAGGCAGTGTGTGCACATGTGTGAGTGTGAATGTGTGTGTGTACATATGTGAGTGCATGCTGCTAAAGTCTAGAATTATAGGCAGTGTGTGTATGTGCGTGTGTATGCATACGTGTGTGTGTGTGTGTGTGTGTGTGTGTGTGTATCTCAAGGGTTAGTGTATTGGTTACTTTCATGATACTATGATAAGACACAATGACCGAGACAGCTTACAGAAGGAAGAATTTATTGGGCTATGGTTCCAAAGGGGTAAAAGGGTAAGAGTCCACCATGGTGAATCCGCATGTCAGCATGGATCAGACATGGTGGCAGGAACAGGTACCTAATACTTCCCATCCTGAACCACACACACAAAGCAGAGAGAGAGCAAAATGGAAGCAGGAAGAGACTATAAGCTTGCAAAGCTTGCCCACAGTGGCATGCTTCGTCCAACAAGGCCACATCTCCTAACCCTCCCCAAACAGCACTACAAACCAGGGATCAAGTGTCTAAACACCTGGGCCTATGGGAGACATTCCCACTCAGACCGCCCCAGCTAGGACAGGAGGGATGTATAGCACCGTGTCATGATCCGGCTGTGGGCTCTAGGTATCTGCATTGGTCTCTGCATATACTCTGGCTGGTGAAAAGTGTTCATATTTTCATGTTCCATGACCTATACATTTTATATCAGAAAGAAAAGAACTGTAAGAATACTAAACAGTGACATAAAACTCAAGTGCCTGGGGAGGATGTATTTTTAATGAAGTTAAGTTTAGAAAGTTTAAATTATAGGCTTTAAGAGGTAGTAGATATTCACAGAAGATATTTTCCTCATGTCTGAAAATGTTTATATTAAAAACCTAGTGGAAAACAACAGCTTGAGTTGGAAAGTAGAAGCTAATCAACTAGAGCATATTTTATTTTGCTTTTTAATAGTATAATGTCCATTTGTGTCATTGAAATTGAGTAGCTCGCTTCTAAAATTAAATTTAAGTAATATTGTAAAAGGTTCACAAAAAAAAGGGCTCAGTTAAAAGGTCTCCTGGCCAGGTTCCCAGAGGACCAGAAGCCTTTCCAGGTTGCATTTTTGCTCAGATTCCTCCCAGACATTCCATGTGAGGAGACGGCATGGTCCCCGGGCCTTACATGTGAGGACACGGCATGGTCCCCAGGCCTTACAGATTCCATACACAGCCTTGCAAAGGAGAGTGGCCACCACAGAGCTTGGCCAGGCAGTGGCATTTTCTCTCAGGGATGACCTCATTCTGGCACTGGAGACACTGAGATGTAAATTGGAACATTTCATTGAGACGTCCCCACACCATCACTGTATCTAGTCTGCCAACTGTGGAGCTTCATAAACGAATTCCCAGAAGATAGAGCAAGTCCTGAAATTCAAGCTCCTTCATCCATGGGAAGGTAGTGCAGTGGGTAAGGAGAGGCCCTTGAACTGGACTCTGGAGGTGACTTTCTTTTCTGGAGCTCTTTCTCCTGTTCTGACATTTTCATTCCCATTGAAGGAATTACACTTCACTGAGTAATATTCACTGAATAAGCCAGGATGGTCTGTCATGCCATGCTGTGATATGTTCCTGGGCACTGAGGCAGGCCCTCTAATGGATTTACCTGCTTCTTCCACCCACATCCCACGTCCAGCCTCTCCCAGACACTTACCCCCAAGTCAGCACTCACTAGTTACATCCTGAAGTGAACACTGAAGGTCGTCTCCAGACTAAAGCTATGTCTTTTTCAGGTACATGGCCAGATCACAGCAGCCAAGAAAACCATGTTAAAATAGCTTTAAAGTCTCCCCAGGGCGAGGCTTGTCTTGCCATTTGACAGGAGCCGTGTAAGACAAAGAGCAACCACTAACCGGCCCTTGAAAAGAGCAGATCCAGGATGGGCAACCCAGTTGCCGATGATTAGGAGATCATTGTTTCAGGGCCGATTCCTACAGTTGGATGTTAGAGTTCCCCGTCACACCTGCAGTGAATGAAAACCTAGCGCGGTTTGGGATGATGTTAGGAGTCAAGGCCGCTGGGAGGAAACCAGGCATAGATGAGATCCTAAGGGCAGAGCCTTTAGTGCATCTCGTAGAGCTGAGGAGATGCACTAGGCTGCTCTGTCCACCCTCACAGAAGGCTTTACACAAAGGTGGCTGGTCACCTCTTCTCCTCATTCTATATCCCCTGCTGCCACTTAGCACTTAGAGCTATTAAGTTTCCCTGTGGTTCGGTATTTCCATCAGGTTCTCTGACAAGCCTAGCTTGAGCCAGAGGCACTAGAAGGGAGTCTAAGTCACTGTCCGCTCCACCATCGTGACCAAGTGTGTCTAAGCCACTGCCTCATCTACCATCATGACTGACTGTGTTTAAGCCACTGCTTGCCCCACCATTATGACCGAGTGTGTCTAAGCCACTGCCCACACCACCATCATGACCTAGTGTGGGTTCAGGCTGCATTGGTAGCTTCTGTGTGACTAGGAATGTTGTTCTCCCTGGGGCCAGCTTGTGACTTCTGTCATTAGGCTGACGCTCTTCAACACCTGGGGACTTCAGCTGGACTCATTAGCATGGGTCCGCAAGGGAATCCATTGGTTAGTGACAGTGGGATAGAAGGCAGTGATGACTGCATGCCAGCGCCGTCTCGCCCATAGACAGATAAAGAGCCTGTTTTCCCAAGTATCTTAGTAACAGACGTGAGTGGGGGGTCGTGACCCCTGGTTTATTTTCTCCTGATTTCTTCATGCTCACTGTTGATCCTGGGACACTTGCTTTGGTAGGACTCAGATCTAAATAGAGTGTTGAGTTCAACAGTAGAACATTGCCTAAGCTCCTACTTGGAGTCCGAGGTACCGTCTTGAGACAGGTCCTCCTGAACTGGACTTCCAATGGCATAGAACAAGATGAGAAAGACACTTTTGGCATAGTGATTTTTTTTGAAATTAGTGTTTAAAAAAATAACTGATGCTTACCCACCATGGGCATGGGTTGCATGGTTTTTTAAATCCAAGTATGTCAAGAATTTTACTTTCTTCAGAGCCTTTCAGAGACTGTGTTGACTAATCTCAGCAAAAATACCTCCACCTACCTCAGAACGTTATGATGGGATTCACTTTGTCAAACGCTAAAGGCAACACTGTCTGGTTCAAGCAATGCCTTCTGTCTTGACAGTGGCATTGTCTGAGGCTCTTCACCACTCAAGCTGGAGCTAGTCACAGGTCACAAAGACAGTCCCTCCAAGGGTGCTCAGTTACGTCGCTTCTGTCTCTGTCTCTCTGACTCAAGTGTACTCATAGTATGGAAGGAGAAGATGCAAGAGCCTTGACATTCAGTCACTGCCATGTGGTGCAGAGTCCCCGTTCTTATGAGTAAGTGAGTGATGTCAGGGATTTTATTTCAGGAACACTGTGTATCTCTGAGATCACTTTCCCCCTCAGAATATCAGGACACAATAACGTGCAACTCAAGAGTGGCTAATTGGCTATCCTCCGTTACCTTCCCCTTAGCCACAAAAACAGCCTCTTATCTGAAATACCCATCCGGTGAAGTCGATTTGAAACCTGAAGACTGGACTTTCTTTTCAGCTGGCTCATTGTTGCTAGCATGGATCAAATTTTTGAGGGTGCCATCTCAATAAAGATGAACAGAACTTGGTATTGCTGCATGTTGTCAGATACACTTCCCACCTAGAAAGGGGTAGCTAAGTGGGAAACCCATCATAGCAACACTGAGCTCAGTGCCCAGAGGCATGCAAATGCAGTGCCTCTGGATTCAGGATTCTCAGCAAACCAGGGACAAGGCCAGCTTTCGTGGAGCTTCAAGCATTGCCAGCCCTGGAGCCCCGCTGTGAAATGTGTCAGAAAACCATGAGTGCCAGAGTGTCTGAGTGAAACGTGAGCTTCTCCAGCTCCTTGACAAAGTCAGCTCTGCATCAGCCCAATTAAAACCTCACACCTTAGAAAAGACTTTATTCACCTTAGCATTTTGTAATAATAGCACTGAAAATACTCAAGGTACTCTGGTGCTTGGTATTTCTTAGCAGTTGGGGGAACTCTGGAATGCTTAAAATATTCTATGGTATGATCAATTTATAGGGGATACGGCAACTCCCTTCAGTTCATAAAACATGGTTTTTTGGTTTTTTTTGTTTTTTTTTTTTTTTTAGGACAGAGTTTCTCTGTGTGGCCCTGGATGTCCTGGAACTCACACTGTAGACCAGGCTGGCCTTGAACTCACAGAGATCCACCTGCCTCTGTCTCCCCTCCCTGAGTGCTGGGATTAATTTTTTAAAAGTTAAAATGCAAGCAAAAGAGTAATGCTAATAGAAGTAGCCAAAGGGAATTAATTGAAGGCAAAACTGGTCATGAAAACTACTTAAAGTGCATTTATTAACGTAGAATAAACCAAAGCACCCCGGTCAGCTGTTTGAGACAAAACAGCTGGAAAACGGTGGAGGGGCATTGAGTTACTTGTTTGGTGATTTCCAGTGTTGTGACAACACCCACTAAAATAAGGATAAAAGTATTAAAGCAATAGTTACAGCAAGCATTACTTTAACAAAGCCACTAAAAACCATCACAGTCAGGAGAACCTCCTGAAGAAAGTCCATAATATTCTGTGCAGAAGAAAGACCAAACACAAAGGCAGAGGGGATTATGAAACAATATTCTTCGTCTTGGCAACTCCAAGACACTTGTATTAAGGGGTGTTGAGCAGATTGGCAAGAGATGGGACTGAAAAGCAAGCAGTGGATGGGAAAAACTTTGGTTCCCCTAGCAAAAAGAGGCACTAGGGATCCACTGAGGGGCACAAATCCCACATGGAAGGATAGATGAGTGTAAGGGTTGGGATTGGGTGCCCGACCCCACCTGTATGCTTGAACACTTAGACCTAAGCTGTTTGGTGGCACTGTTTGGGGAATTGTGGCACCTTTGGGAAGCAGCTGAGAAAAGTCACCATTAGGAATGGGGGGAGGAGACCAGCGATGAGAGGTTTTCTAGAGTCTCGGAAGGGGATGGCTTTATGAAGAACGAGCTAATCAACAAATTCAAAATCTCTCAAAAAGTCATGTCCTGGTGAGGTCTGAAGTTGCCCAGTGGGTTTCAGGGGTGCAGGTGAGGAGAGCGTGGAGAACCCTTCCTACTGAGTGGTGAGAGGCATGCAGACAGTGTGGGGAGAAGCAGACACTGGAAGGTCATGTAGGGTGTGTGCTCTCTTCTGAGACAGGAAATCTAGACTAATATTCAGGAAGTGGCTGAAAGAATTCGATGGATTAAAATGGCAGGGAAAGGAGAACAGTTAAATGAAGCTGAGCTCCCCAGGCTGTGGGAAGGGAGGATTTCAGCACTGCTCGTGGAGAAGCCAGTATGTGGAGAGACTGGCACTTTGCGTCCAATGATAGGAATAGAAAATGGTACAGCCGCTCTGGAAACCTGGTGGCTCTCCAGGAAATTAGGCATAGAGTTGTCATGACTTGGCAGTTTTTCAAAATTAAATTAAGGGAAGAGCTCAGATGCCTGCACTTGTGCAAGGCTATGGCCACATCATTCACAGCGACCAGGCAGAAATGACCCAAAAGCCATGAACGCATAAACAGATAAATAAAACATGGTATGTGCATAAAATGGACTACTATTCATCAATAAAAAGGGCTGAAGGTCAGATACAACACGAATGAATTTTGAGAACTTGCTAAGTAATATTTATATAATTCATCTATATGAAACATCTGAAGTAGGCATTCATAGATCCACAGGCAGATTAGTGGTCACCAGGAGCTGAGTCTCCTCTAATGAATATAAAGTTTATGGCTGGAATGACAGAAAACATTTAAAAGTAGGTAGTGATGATTACTGAACAACCTGGTAAGATGGTTAACGTTGCATATTTTAAATGATATAAAACTTAATTTAAAAATTAAACATTTGCGCTTTTAGGTATTATTAATTGGGGAGTGTATTGTATATGATATGGGGGGCACATGCCAGAGCACATATGTGGAGGTTAATGATAACCTTAGGGAGTCAATTGTCTCCACCCACCTTTACTGGATTCCAGGGATGAAACTCACTCACCAAGGTCTGGGGAAAGTGCATTTACCTGCCAAGTCATCTACCAGCCTATAACAGATATTTTAATACAATACAAATTTCTAATGTAATCTTAACCATATGTGATGGCTCAGTTGGTTAACATTTTCAAAAATTTTATTTTAAAAATATGAAGGAATGATCAAGACAGGGCTGTTCTGAACTGCGTTTGAGACATTGGTGATGGTTAATTTTCTGTGTTAACTTGACCAAACTAAGGGATGCCCAGATAGCTAAAGCAGCGTGACGGTCTGGGTGTATCTACAGGAGCGTTCGTGGAGGAGATTACATTTGAATCAGTGCGCTAGAGAACCGTAATCTCCCCAGTGTGGGCAGGCGTCATCTGAGCCCAGGGTGGCACTAGTAGACCAGTAGTCGAGTGTCCTAGTTATACCCTCAGCTGTCAACCTTCCAGAGTCTGAAGTCCGCTGAGAAATAAGTCTCACTTGATTGTCCTTATCAGGTTGGTCTGTGGGCTTGTCTACCAGGGCTGTCTTGATCCGTAATTGCTTTAGGAGGCCCCAGCCATGTGGGCAGCATCGTTCTCTGCACAGGTAGTCTTGGACTATTCAAGGAAAGCAGCTGAGCCGCACCTGTGAGCAAGTCCCCAGCAGCCTTCCCCCAGGGTCTCTGCTTCAAGCTCTACTGCCTCGGTTCCGGCCTTGACTTCTTTAGTGATGAACCCTGCTCTGGAATTGTAAGCCACATACACTTTCCTGTCCTACGTTGTTGCTATTCGTCAGAAAGTTTTATCACAGCAACGGAAAGGAAACCAGAGCATGGAGGAAGAATGAGTTTACCCTGTGTGGTCTGAGGTATCTGTCTTCTCCATCAAACACTGCAGCTGTTAGTTCTCAGGCGTTAGGAGGCTGACCATGACTTGCATCAGCACCCCCACCTAACCACCTCCCACCTCAACCATTTTCAGGTCCCCAGACTTTTGAATTAATGCCACAGGTTTCCTTGGCAACCCAGGTACATATTAGACCTAACTTATCAGCCCACATTTGGCTCATTTCCTTGGAGGATCCAATGCAGTCTGTCTTTGGGAGACATTTAGAAACTTCCGGACAGTTTCTCTTTTTGTTTGTTTTGTTTAACTAAGCAGGAAACAGATTCTGCTTGAAGTGAAATGGAAGGGGCAGAGGTTCAGTCCGAAACTAGAGAACAGCAGGAATGGTTAAGAATGAGCACCAAGGAGCATGGGAAGGAGATGATGAAAACTGAATCCTCTCTCTCCACTGGTCCAGCCTGGCTGAGGCTGTGCAGTGGGTCGTCTTCATGGTTCTGTCCTGTTATTGTCAGCAGCACTGGTCTAGGAGTCACAGGTGCAGCATTGCCAGCTTCTCCTGGCTTGGGCGCTTGTGGCATGGGCCGTAAGAAGGCTGTAAGCCTCCGAAGGCTACTTTAGAGGGTTAGTGAAAGAATGGCTCCCAATCAGCCGTAGGCTTCACAGAGACGGCTGTGGAAGGGACCAAGAAGAGTGCAGCACATGGAGTTGAAATGAAAGGTTGATTTATGAGTGCTTAGTTATTGTGTGTGTGTGTGTGTGTGTGTGTGTGTGTGTGTGTGTCTCCAGGTTTTGTAGTGCCCATCTCAGATTCCCACCTCTCTGACACGAAGGCAGGCCCAGCATCCGCTGAGAGTCACTGGCTGGAAGTGATGACCTCATAGTCACCCCACAGTGAGCAGCAGAGGCAGGGTGTGGGCGTGGTGGCATGAGAAGGACCCACACACTGAGGAGGAATTTCCCCACCAAAAGAGGTTTCACTTCAAGAACCATGTGAGGAAATTCAAAGCTGTAAACTTGAAAGATTGACCATCTTCCTTTCTGAAGTTGTATGGAAAGTCTACAAAAATCTCAACCCTTGGTGGGGCAAGGCTGTCTGAAGGAACATGGTGAACTATTACAAAGTACTGGGGGTACCTATGAATGCCTCCTCCTCTGATATCAAAAGGGCTTTCCACAACTTGGCTCTGCAAGTACATCCAGACAAGAACCCAGGAGACAAGGAAGCAGCAGAGGAGAAATTCAAGCAAATAGCAGAAGCCTATCGCGTCTTGTCTGATGCCAAGAGTAGAAAGGACTACGACAGGTCTAGATGGAGCCGTACCAAAGTAGAAATCAGGGGCAGTGGCCATACCAAAGGGGAAATCAGAGGTGATGCCAGAGACAAGACCCATTTGGAGGATGAAGTGTGCTTGCGGAGGGCACGCCGCGCCTTCCAGAAGGTCACTGAAGATGAAGACCTCTTCTCAGGAGACCATTTGTTCTCTCGTCCCATGGCTCGGTCCAGAAGAGCCTCGTCCCCGTTCTTCAGTGTCACCCCCATCATGGACACGGGATTTTCTACTTTTGTGCCCCTAGGATCGAGACTTGGTTCTGCTGCCTCCGAGACATTTGTACCATATGTAAGCCATGGAATGGGGAAGTTCAGGCTGGTCACCACTTGTAGCCAGATAGTGAACGGTAAGAGAGTTGTCACAAAGAAAGTCGTAGAGAACGTGAGAGGACCAATGAGAAGAGAAAATGACCGCCTACTTCGACAGACCCCTTCACGTGGTTGGTAAGAACTGCCATTGTATTCTTCACCATGAATTGCAAAGGAGATTGGTGTGTCTTGACACCCATCAAAGATGGTTGGGATCTGAGGTCGAATGGCACAGACAGAGGTCTGCCTAGCCCAAAGCCCTCCTCCCCGTGGAGGGGAGTCTTGGGCCAGATGTTAATACAGCCAGGAGCAGAGCTGACCTTGCAGCCTGTCTTCTCACTCAGTAAGGGGTGGGGGACAGACACACTGCACTGGAAGGCAGAATCCCAGGGCTCTTCCACTGTTGTCCCTCTGCCCCTCGCTGTTTGCCACCCAGTGACCTTCTTGGTGACTCTTCCTTTTCTTTCCCTAGCCTTTTTTTTCCTCTCTCTCTGTCTCTCCATCTCTCTGTCTCTGTCTCTGTCTCTGTCTCTGTCTCTGTCTCTGTCTCTCTCTCTCTCTCGTCGCATGTCACCTCCCTCCCTATGCATTTCCCATGGTTCATATGATCAAGTTCAACTCAAGGAGTTATCTACCCACAGATCAATGCTGACAGAGAGTCAAGGGTTAAGGGTTTTACATCCGTGTCATACATTGGCTGCTGAGCACATGTCTGGAATCGTGTTCTCTGAGTCCTTCAGCAGTGCAGTTCAGTCGCTGCTTCCCTCATCTTACGGACAAGGAGATGAGGCTTAAAGAGATAGCGGCGTGTCCCATCCCTGCCTAATACCCAGTAAAGTAATTGGCTCTGTCCCCCTTGATCTATAAATCTGGGGCCTCAGTTCAATTGGAAATTAAGACCTATCATCTCTATACCGTGTTTCAATGCATCAGGACTTGCTAGAACTTATTAAGTAGACAGACTTTTTAACGTTCTGGCCCAACAGGAATTTGGAGTTTGCTTGTGTGTGAAGACAGGAAAGAAACACTGTAGCCAGTTAAGCTAGAAAATGCTCGCCCATTAACACAGAAATCCCAGGGTGTGAATTATATCTTTGTTCTCGCTTTAATTGTGATATATTTACAAACTCTCGTTTGTTGGTTGGGTCTGCTGAGCCAGAGTCTGCTGGTTGCATTGCACCCTTCCAGTCTATATTAATAAACTGCTGGGATCTGGGTGAGTTCCTCCTCAGAAACACTTCTGATGAAGTCTACAGTTTCCAGTCAGTGCTGATTAGCAAAAATTGGGTTTCATGCAATTATAATCTATTATGGAAGTTAAATAACAAATTATTAGCTCTTTTAATCAAGGGACTTTCTCATTGGTGGGATTTTGATGAAGCAAATGTTCTTATGCAGGTCTTGAAAATTTTAATCTTGGTGAATTTTCTCACTCTAAGTGGAATACGCTTGCATCCTTCTGGCAAAGACGCAGAAAGGAAGCAAAGGTGGACATGAATTCAGAAGGCACTAGTGCCATCATCTGCTAAGAAACCACCCACTGTTTGGAGTGGGGTGTATGAGACTCTGTGCAGCTGAGGGTCCAAGGTTGCTAACGTGTTGCTAGGTTCATTATTCAGAAAAGGGCCTGTGTGCATATAAGGGTGTCAAGCTGCCAAATGTACACTAGAAGGATGTGGACAGAGATCAACCAAATAGAATCCCTGGTTGCTAAATTATTGCCTGCCCCCTAAGTTGTGGTAGGATTCAGATTGCTGCCTGTCCGACCAGAAGCTCACAGTCGCCCAGTACTGCATTCTGCCCTCGGAGCAGCTGGCGTCAGGGTTAAAGGGGAAACCCTGTGAGCAGGGGACAGTACATTTCAGCACTTGCCCAGTGACTGTCTCCAGATGGGTCCTTCTACCCGCTGCTCTGAGGTGAACTGCACTGTGCCTGGGGAACAGAGGGGAAATCATCAAATTGGAACATAAAACATGATCTTCCGTTTTGTCTGAAGGAAAATCCAGATCTCAGCATTTTCATAGACACTTGGCAGAAACGCTGAGTCGCAGGGGGATTCTGGCCAGCACTGATTCCTTCTTTCCACAATTCACGCTCGGTTAGTAAAGGAAGCTTGCTTGTGTAGACATGAAAACAGGCTCTGAGCGCAGAGGTGCCTGTTGGAAGCAGAGGGTTCTGTCGATGGAGCAGGGCTCAGTGCCCTCTCATCCGGGGCAGAGGCTGAGCTCTGAGGTCACCAGATATTAGAGAGACGTGGTCACATAGTGTCCTGGGTCCTGCTGGGCTCACATACTGCCCTCTGCTCTGCTCCTGGGGTTTCTTTGGCGACCACAACTCCTCTCAAGCAAGTTCACCTCAAAATAGTTAACAGGCAACTTGAACTCTTACAGGTGTTGTTGATGGGTAATCTCTCACTGAAGCAGTGACGGGAGGGGGTAGAGAGAGACTTCAAGGTCTAAGCTTTAGGATTGGTCAATTCCCATGTTTGTAATTTCCAACTGCCCTGAAGCAGCTGCTTTTTCATGCGCGGTGAAATCAGCATGAGACGTTTAGTAGCTGAAAAATAAATGATCCCCAAAGTCAACGTCGCTGTGAGACAGCCAGAAGCAGTTCCTTGTTCTGCTGTTTCATGAACGTGGCTGACAGTGAAATGAGTGCGGAGAGCACAGGAAGTGAGAAAGACAAGGAAGCGTGTCCTGCGTAGCTCAAGGAGTGCATACAGGAAGTGGAGTTGCGTTCCCACATCTCCCAGGAGGAGGCAGGCGCAAGGGCTGCAGAGTGGGAAATTCTCTAGCCCGTTTGACCTGCTGCTGTTTCTCTACACTCTTAGAGTTCAACACGTTTTCTCCACAGCCTGGCAAGGTCCAGGAGAGTAGGGAGCAATGGCTTCCCTAGAGGGTGGCGTAAAGAGGGTCACAGTTTTATGTGGTCACTGCAGTGTCCCCTTGTCTCACCAACCCAGGTGAACAAAACTCTTAAGCACAGACACACAGTTTCTTCTATGAGCAATAACAAAAGCAGGGCCACAGCTAACATTCTTGGAGCTTCCTTTCCATAAATTGAAAGCGCCCTCTCCATTCAGACCATTCTCATCTCTTTTGTGAGAAGCCCATTTTAATTTCCTCCTTTGTTGTCTCCAAAATACCTGAAGGACCCAAGGGATGGGCTGTAAAGCACCAGGGGAAGGGGATTGGCAGCTGGAAGGGTTCTAACCTTCACAGCGGTGTTCCTGATCTGTTGAGCAGCAGTGTGGTGGAGAGCCTCAGTGTGGGAAGACAGTGCTTTTCAGATTGAGGGAGGACCAAAAGAGAGACTCTCCCAAAGGGCGAGCCCTGTTTACTATTGCCTGCTATTGTAACTAGCAAGATTTCCAGAAACCTTTGAGTCTAGACTTCATTAGGCCATCTCGATAACAAACATTTAATTATGACATTAAGCAGAGGGGGCTGGGACTAGGGTTTGGGGGTAGAGTGCTGGCCCCTATGCTAATGCCCTTAAAGCCCTGGTTTCCTTCAGAGGGGAGATGGGGAGACAGAAGGAAAGTGGACAAAGACTGTGAACAGACAAGATTTCAAATTCCGTGTCCCTCTTCCCTAATTCTGTGTCAAGCAGTAAACTTTTGCTCAGTCCTTGCTTCGCCTATAGATTAAGATGATAATCCCTGGCTGTTGTAGTCTATAGGGTTGTTTGGGAACTTAAGTATTTAGGGAACTCTGGAAAATTTTGATATATTTTATGGATGGCACACGTCCTTCTCCCTTTCAGAAGGAACCTCTCTGATCTTCTCTGATCCGTGCGGTGGGTACGTACTATTACAATCTTGCCCCTGAGTTTCTTAAGATTTGTGATAGGATCTTGAAAACAAGATCAGCTGTAGATTGTGTTTAATCTCAAAACAGACGGTGTTTTGAAGGAGAAGATGGAAGACATGATAGCAGATGCTATTTTGGTACGATTGCAGTAGTTTCCAGCTGGAGACAAGTGTGTAACTCCTGCCTTCGCCCTTCCCTGTATCTTCACTACCAAGAGCTCTGGGCCTACTCACACACTGGCTTTCCTCTCTGTTTCCATTCTAGGAAATTGATGGAAAATCCCTGCTCTTGATGACAAGAAATGACGTGTTGACAGGACTTCAGTTAAAATTGGGGCCCGCTCTGAAAATCTATGAGTATCATGTTAAACCTCTTCAGACCAAGCATTTAAAGAACAGCTCTTCATAGTAAAGTGAAACTGAGGTCTCAGTCCTCAAAACAAAATACACAATGATGTCATTTAGTTTCATGTTGTGAGACTTCACAAACAGAATACATACATACATGTGTATATGTAAAGAATTTCGATCCAACAAAGTGTTATCCTATTGGATAGACTAGGCAGTCCATCAGCTGGCTGGCTCAGCCCGGAGGAGCAAAGACAGAATGTATGTAAGATGGTTGTCCTTGTCAAGCCAAGACATCATTGGCTCTGAGGTACCCTTCCCCTGGGGAGCTTTGAAATCACAAGAATTTTCTTTGTTTCATAATAGATTGTTTTCCACCAACTCCTTAAAAACAAGGATGGCTGTAGAATGAGTGGTTTGGGTTGTAGACTTAGAAATGAGAGCAAACAAAACTCCATGGGGAGGGGAGGAGAGGGAGGGAGTGCTGCCTCCCTTGAGTTGCTCTGCTCCTAGACGTCTGTTCCATGGATGGAATTGCCAACACCCTTTTTTTGTAGAGGGTTCTCCACTTGACCTTCTTAAAGTTTCACAGAAACGTTCTGTGCTGTGTGTGAAGCGAACATGCACCAGGCTCCCTTTCGGAGTAGAACTCTCTCTGAGAAGAGAGACATGCTATGCACTGGAGACATCCTTGTAATCTACTCACTGTCACGGGGGCGGGGGAGGGGGGCTGGGGTGTGTATTTCCTGCTTACGTTGGTTGCTGAAGAAAACATTTAGGGGCTTTGGATTTTTTTTTGTTTGTTTGTTTGGTTTTGCTTTTTACTTTATGGTTTGTATTTATAATTTCTTTCTGAAGCGATTTGCCAAGAGTTAATAGATCCCAAAGCTTTGTTAATAGTACAGAATATTTTTATATATACATATATATTCCTCCATGATTCTGTAATATTTTTTTAATTGTCCTATACTGTGTTTGGTCCCTGGTTTGAGTACTTGTCTTTCAGAACTTGAAAAAGTGAGCTTGCTACATCTCTGTTCAAAGAGACACTTATTGAGTGATGTTTGTCCATACTTGTTGAGTTGATGCTTTGTGATTGCAATAAAACACTGCTTCAGTTCACCAATACGTCCTTGGTTTCTTCTCATTTGGTCCCTTCCTTGAGGATTAAAGATTAACAATGTCTCCTTGAAAACACAGAGAGGAAGTTAAGTTTTAAAAAGAAAACTTGGAGTGAATGAAATAGCTTGGTGGGTAAAGTTCTTGCCATCAAACCTGAGAACTTGAGTTCAAGCCCTGGGATGCACACACACACACACACACACACACACACACACACACAAATAATAAATTTAATTTTTTAAATAAAGTTAAATTATGTAGACTATTATATAAGTTGAACCTCATATAAGCTAAATCACCCCAACAGATCTCATTCTTTCTTATAGTCCATCCAGTAATCAATTTTAGGTGGTATTTTAGCCAAGGATTGCTTACTTGCCTATCACAATCATGATTTGACATACAGCTTAGCAGGGAGTCCCTGGACCTCTGAGTTTGCTTGCTCTTCCTATTTTAAAGACTAGCCATAAGGACCATTTCTCTGAAGAACATAACATCTATTTATTTTTAATTTTATATGTAAATTTATGTTTTGTCTACATGTGTATCTGGGTATTGTGTGTACGCCTGGTTCCCACAGAAGCCAAAAGATCACATGGAGTTACAGATTGTTGTGAGCCATGTGAGTCCCAGGAATCAGACCCCAGTACTCCAGAAGAGCAGCCTGTGATCTTAACTGCTGAGCCGTCTCTCCAGCGCTAAGAACATAAAATCTAAAGATGAGCATGACGGGACCTAGACAATGGAATAGTTCAAAATTAAAGATGCATCCGAGACCTAGACAACGGGATAGTTCCAAATTCAAAGACACATACAAGACCTAGACAGTAGGATAGTTCCAAGTTCAAAGGTGCATCTGAGACCTAGTCAATTGGATAGTTCCAAATTCAAAGACGCATCCAGGCTGCAGTGCAGCTCAGTTGGTTGAGTGCCTGGTGCCTGCCTGGATTCCCAGAACCACCTAATCTGGGCGTGGGAGCACATACTTGTAATCCTAGCCCTTGGAGGCAGACAGATCAAGAGATTGAGCCAGTCTGAGATACACAATGAGTTTGAGGCTGATCTGGATTGAGGACACCTTATCTCAAATAAACAAACAAAAAAAATCACATTTTAAATTGCTGCAATTAAAGGGGTTATGGGGTATGTAGAACTTAAATGTTTTGGTTTGCACTATTAACAGGAAAAGCGAGGACAAAAGGCACATTTTCTAGTCCCAGACTCTCACCCAAGACAGGGGTATGATAGGCACTGGGGAAGGTGACAGAGGCAGGTCAGACACAGCCTGCAGGGACCTGGATGAGAGGTGGGAGAATGGGAGGAAGAGCTCTGTTACGGCTTTTATGAAGGGTTAGCTCGAGGAATGTGCAGACCTCCTCTGTTCCAACACCTCTGGGTTAGCTGGAAACAGGTCCCTTGGGAGTGCTGAGGACTGCCCACCTCCCCCTCGTTACCGTTGGGGCAGTAAGATGCACGTCTACTCTGTGCAGAGACTAACTGTGTGACTAACTGTGCAGAGAAGGGAGGCGGGGGTGACGCCGCGCTGTTGGCGAGTCCAGGTGCATAGCTTCTCCTGTCTCTTAGCTCCATCACTGTTAGGGCAAAATTGTTTTCTGAGACATTGTCGTCACCACACGACCTCCAAACGGCAGAGGGAAAGAGGAAGCAAAGGAGCAGGACAGAGGTTCTCAACCTTCCTAATGCTGCGATTCTTTAATACGGTTCCACATGTTGTGGTGACCCCAACTATAAAATTATTTTGATGCTACTTCATAACTGTAACTTTGCTACTCTTAGGACTCCTAATGTCAATATCTGATCTGTGACCCACAGGCTGAGAACCTCTGTTCTAGGGCATTTCTCCTGCCTCGTCTTACATCTTGCTGACCAGAACCCACTCTCATGGCCCATTCATAAGCTGCAAAAACACTAAATATTCTTTTCCTGAGAGCCTGTGAGGCGAGTTAAGAGCCCACGCCTCATTACTGTTACAGAACTGAAATCGAGTTTTTATGTAATCAATAAAATCTGACCCCGGGTGGTCTCTCTATATAATGAACTACACCTTAACTCTGTTTATGGGCAAATTGTAACCTAGACCAAAGAAGCCCATAGTAACTAAGCAACTGAGCCCCAGCCACTCCCAAACTGAAGGTCAAATCCCTGACAAAGCGTCACACCAAACTGGAGCAACTGGGTAGCCTCTGTATGCGATTTCCTTTCTGGTTATGAAAATGGTTCCTCATCGTAAGAAGTCATGGCTTCATGACTTCATTGATGCATTGATGCCAGTTTCGAGAACCTGTTTCTTGCTCAAGCTTCGTTAAATTTCAGGGATTGTTCTCCTTTTAATGCATATGAGGAATAAGGGGCATGTGGGAACAACATGCAGTTACTACCATCAGTGGGTCACTAAACACTCAAAGCAAATGATACAACATATGGGCTTTTAACTCTGTTTGTCTCCGGGTTGAACTTGGCATACACTAACTCAGCCTCAGCATAGAATTTCCCTGTGTGTGTTGAGGGCAGGGGGGTGGTTGAAAGGGAAATAGAAAAATATGAAAAGCACCCCTCAGCTGATAACAACTTTCACACAAAATCAGTAAGTTAAAGCTTGCCTGCTGTTCTCACGCACTGAAGGAAGGACCCGTAGCAGGCAGACTGATGAAGGAACACTGCAGCAATAACAGCTCAGGTGTTCTGTGCCTCTCCACCTAGCGGCGATCACCATCACTGAAATGGGTTAGCAGACATTCCGCCAGTGGGAGCTTTGGTTCCTCACTCTGGATCTCCATGAGAGTGGCCTTGATCTACAAGGAGTCACAAACGTGTTTGCTGTACGGAAGCACGTACCATGTATTCGGTGGGAAAGTGCTTGCCTGGATGCCAGTAGAGTTTATGGTAAAAACGCGTGAGATCAGATGCATGGGGATTAATTTGAACCACACAGGCAGACAGGATACCAGAATCGGGGATTCAAGGAAGTCCCTGTGGTTTTGCTCCCACCTCACCCCCAACACGACATTTGAATGTTGAGTTCAAGCCCTACAAATTAGATGTAGTGGGCTGATTTAAAGTCTAGGTCCCAGGCTGGCCACTGTTCAGTGGAATCTAAACTGACACATACTTTTCTTTAGCCAAAGCATGTGTACAGTGCGTGTGTGTGTGTGTATGTGTGTGTGTGTAAATGATATTGGGACACTTCCAATGGGGCTGGAATTTCCAGTGTGTTAATACCTTCCATTTTAGCTCGACACTTTGGCAGTAATTGTCTGGATTCCAAAGGCATTTGAGTTTTAGACACTAACTCTCTCCCAACACTATTTTAATAACACAAAAAGCACAGAACCTTTTTTGATTAAGTTAATTTAGGAGTTAGAGATAGCAAGCCAATTTAATTGAAAAGAAGCACCCTGGCATATTGCACCAGAGCATGCAGCAGGCATGGGCCTTATTTTAAAAGAAATTTTAATTAAAGCATAATTATATAATTTCCCTATTCCCTTTCCTCCCCAAGCCCTCATGAGAATCAGTTTTGGTAGTGGACATGGATGTAGAGAAAAAGAGGGCAATTGCTGACATGGTCTTCATTTTATTTTTAGCAAACACCTTACATGAATATAGTTTTGTTTTGTTTGTTTGTTTTTTTCTTTGTGCTTGGAGTCTAGTATATGTTGTCAGGAATGCAAATAATCCTTTTACTGCGTTAGTGAAATTTATTTTTGGGGAAATTTAATTTGCAAAAGTCTAATAAGCCACTGCTGCCCAACCCACTCCCAGATTTGG